TTTTCACGCAGCATTTAGCGAGAAGCTGGCCGCCCAGAATATGACGAACCAACCACGCCTCCCCTTCGGCGCTTCCCCTGTTTTCCTGGCCGTCTGCTGTTGTGATTCCGCGCGTGCCTCCGTGTGCCATCTTCCTTCAGAAAAGCGGGCGATCGTGCGGGCAGTGCATGTGATTGGATCACGGCATACACACATGATCAGAGAGCACAAGAGTCGGCCCTGACCGTCGGGGGTTTGAGGCCATGCAGACACCCTGGTCGTTCCGGCGTGAATTTCATCTGACTCCGGACCGCCGGGAGCCGGGGCTGGTATAACGAAAGGTGAGGCTGAGGGCAGGGGGGGGGGGCATCGAGCATGCTCTCCCTCGATCGGTCGAGGCGCCAGCGAACGTGCGCCCATCCCGAGAACGTGGTATTGAGTGTCCCCGTCTTGTCGCTGGGCCGGCCTTTCAAGGCTCCCTTCCCCCCGTGTGTTGGCCATCAGCTGGCAGGTATTTGCTGTTGTTGATGTGACTTTCTCGTGCTCGGCCCGCAAGAGGCTGCGGGAGAGAATAACACCCGCGTGTGCCAGAGCAAGATGCTCCCCCCCCCCCCCCCCATACGGCTCCACGCCTCCCAAGCGATCCCCGAGGCCACCAGCCAGGTGGAGGTGACAACGAAGGGTGCCGCCCGGCCCTCAAGCGACCAGCCACACCCAGGCCCGCGCAGCGCGGTCGCCCAAAGAGCATGTTGCTCTTCCATGGTTCTCTCCTCGCCTCCCGTTCTATGTCGGTGCTGACATTTCCGGCCCCATTGAGCGGGACGATTGTGTGTGGGATGTGGGGCTTTTCTCATGCCGGGTGAAGGGCCGGGGCGGGTGACGAGAGGAGATCCTCACCCCTGAATTGGCCGATCTTCGCCTGTCTGCGGGAACATTTATCAGCCGAAAGCCTGCGAGGAAGACACATCACTGGCCGAATCACCCTGCACCACGATCACCCCTCTCAACTTGCTGCTCGCCCGTCCACTCGCCGCCCTCAGCGCTGCACTCGCTTCGACTTCCTCCACCATCTCCCGGCCCCCCCCCCC